AAACAGATTCGGAAGATGCAATGGAGCAAAGATGTATCACCTGCAAAAGGAGGTATCAAGCTTAGTACAAGGTACAAGTGATATAGCAAATTACTTCACTAAACTTAAGAGGCTATGGGATGAATTGGATTCCCTTAATGTTATTATATCTTGTACTTGTGTGTGTGTATGTGAAGGTAAGGGAAAGTTGGTTAAATCACTGCAAGATCAGAAACTAATGCAGTTTCTGATGGGGTTAAACGACGTCTACGCTCATGCAAGAGGGAACATCCTGATGATGAGCCCTTTGCCAAGCATTGATGTTGCATACTCCCTTTTGTTGCAAGATGAGAACCAACGAGAGGTTTATGTTAATGCAAACCCCTTAACCAACTCAGCAGCTTTTATGGCAACAACACAAAGCAAGTGGAATCACAGAAATGGTAACCAAATGATGAGAGGAAACACTCAATCACAGAAGTATGATAATGGGGAACAAAGGAACGCAAAATCAGTCCAAAGGTTCAGGTCTAGGAAGACTAAGTACAATCCTAATGTTACATGCACTTACTGTGGAAAAACAGGACATGTACATGATAACTGCTACAGGCTCATTGGATACCCTGATGATTTTGAATTTACTAAGACAAGAGAAACTCAGGGAACAATGAAGGCAAATGCAGTCACAACTGAAGAAAAATCTGAAGCATTCCAGAACACACAAGAGGATACAGCCTACAACAATTACAACCAGTACATGAGCAAAGAACAATACACAAATCTGGTGCAGCAGGTTACAAAAGATGTCCTGAAGGAGAGTAGGACAACACCAACCACTGGTTTTAATGGAAATGTCATTGCTGGTACCATTCTGAGGAACTCCAGCTCATGTTTATCACTTATTAATTCTTGTACATGGATTATTAATTCCGGTGCTTCAGAACATATGTGTTTTGATCCCAATTCTTTTCTATCACTCACTCCCCTTCCTGTGCCTTTAACTCTCACTTTGCCTAACTCTTTCAGGATCATTGTGACTCATACAGGAAGTGTCTCTGTTCTTCCAAATTTGACTCTGAAAAATGTCCTATATGTACCTGTTTTCAAGCATAATCTGATATCTGTACACAGGTTATCAAGTCAAATTAAATATGATGTGTTATTTACTCTTAGTGGTTGTGTGTTACATGACCCTTTAATGAAGAACATTCAAGTTTTTGGTGATGTGAATGAGGGATTGTACCTGTTGAAGTCTTCTAGTATTAGGTCTCAGTTTGTTTCTAATGCTAATGTAGTTTCAATTCCACAAGGAAATAGTTCCATTCCTAGTTCAGGATCAGTTCCTTTTTCTTTTTCTGCAAATGTAGTCCCTTCTGTTGATCTTTGGCATGTAAGGTTAGGGCATCTGCCCTTTTCTGCAATGAGAAAATACAGTTTCATTCATTTCCCTTCTAAATTTGAACATGTTTGTGATATTTGTCCTAAAGCTAGGCAGACTAGACTCACTTTTCCATTAAGTGCTATTCATTCTACCAAGCTATTTGAACTGATCCACATTGATACTTGGGGACCATACAAATCACCCACTTACAATGGTTTTCGATACTTTCTTACTATAGTTGATGATTATAGTAGAGGTACTTGGACTTTCTTGTTAAGCTCTAAGAGTAATGCTTTTCCTACTCTCAAGGAGTTTCTAGCTATGATAGAGAGACAATTTCATGCCCAAGTCAAGTGCATTAGGTCTGACAATGCACTAGAATTGGGAACAGGTATTCAGAAGGCTTCTTTTCTTAAGTTTCAAGGGATTTTGCACCAAACTTCATGTGTTGGAACTCCACAACAAAATGGTGTTGTGGAGAGAAAACATAGACATTTATTGGAATTAGGGAGGGGACTGATGTTTCAGTCTCACTTACCTATTGATTATTGGGGAGATTGCATATTAACAACTACATATTTGATTAATAGGTTGCCATCCAAGGTACTACATGGAAGAACACCATATGAAGTTTTTTTTGGTAAGCAGCTTAACTACGAATTTTTGAGAAGCTTTGGATGTCTCTGCAATGCTTCAACTCATTCTCAAAACAGAGAAAAGTTTGAACCAAGGGCAACAACTTGTGTCTTCCTAGGTTATCCACAAGGTAAAAAGGGCTACAAGTTGTTAGAGCTCAACACTAAGAAAGTCTTTGTTTCCAGGGATGTTCACTTCCATGAGCAGTAATTTCCTTTTGCCTCTAACAAATCATATCACTCTCTTCCTCCAATTTTCTCATATCATAATTCTACTCTGGATACCCCAGAATCTGTCTCTTGTCCTTCACCTTCTCCACAAGCTCTTGCACCTCCTGATATTACATCCCCAGATATTGCGACACCTTCTCCCATCAGTCCGAGTGTCAGCAGTCCGACCTCTTCTTCCCTTTCGTCTTCTTCTTCTTCTCCTCTCATCACTGAAGGGAGAACTCAAAGAGTAAGACATAAGCCAAGTTATCTAGAGGACTACTATTGCAATAACATCCAACTGACTGATGTTACCACTGCATGTTTTGTCCACCCTAGTACGCCCACTGCTTTCTCTTTTACTTCTTTGTCCCTTCCAAATCAGCATATGTTTAACTCTATTTCTGATGTAGTTGAGCCTAAGAGTTTTGCCCATGCTTCTCAACATGCTGGCTGGAAAGCAGCAATGGATGCTGAATTAGAGGCTCTTGCACTGAATCACACTTGGGACATTCTACAATTACCACCAAGAAAGAAAGCTTTGCCTTGTAAATGGGTTTACAAGGTAAAACACAGGTCAGATGGGTCTGTTGAGAGATTGAAGGCTCGCTTAGTAGTGAGGGGGGATGTTCAACAAGAGGGTGTTGATTTTTCAGAAACCTTCTCTCCGGTGGTCAAAATGACCACTATCCGGTGTCTACTCACAGTGGCTATCAAGAAAGCATGGCAGGTACATCAATTGGATGTTAGCAATGCGTTTCTTCATGGTGACTTACAGGAAGAGGTATACATGAAGTGTCCTGCAGGTTTACCCTCTATCAAGCCCAACCAAGTTTGTCTCCTCAGAAAGTCTTTGTATGGGTTGCGCTAGGCATCTCGACAATGGTATTCTAAGTTAGCTGGAGCTCTTGGTTTCAAAGGGTATACTAGTTCCATGAACGATTACTCACTATTCTTTAAGGCATCTGGTTCTCTCACCTCCATCATCGCTGTCTATGTTGATGACATCCTAATTACAGGGGATGACATCTCAGAAATTAATCACATCATGCAATTTCTTCATACAGAATTCAGAGTCAAGAATCTAGGCGACATTCACTATTTTTTAGGATTGGAAATCCTACGAGAAAAATAGGGATTCATCATTAATCAACGCAAGTTTACCTTGGAGTTGCTTGCTGATTTCGATTGTTCTGGTGTCGTTGTATCTTCGCCGCTTGATCCATACTCTAAACTTCATGTCGATGACAGTCCACCCGTGACTAATCCAACACTTTATCGACATTTGGTTGGGAAGCTCAATTATTTAACCCACACTAGGCCTGATTTGTCCTTTGCTGTGTTGACACTCAGTCAACACATGCAACATCCCTCTGAATCTCATTATCTTGCTGCTCTTCGAGTTTTGCGATACCTACGCAATGATCCAAGTCAAGGTATTTTGCTCTCCTCCGATTCAACCTTTACTCTCTTAGCTTTCTGCGACGCCGACTGGGCCTCTTGTCGTGAAACTCGAAGATCTGTCAGTGGTTACTTCATCACTTTTGGTGGTGCTCCCATTTCTTGGAAATCCAAGAAACAAGCATCCATCTCCCTTTCATCCGCCGAAACAAAGTACCGGTCTATGCGACGTGTGACTGCTGAAATTACTTGGTTGGTGCGTGTTCTTGCTGATCTCTCTGTTCCTCCAGTACTCCCTATCACAGTGAACTCCGACAGTCAAGCTGCCATTAGCATAGCCAAAAACCCAGTCTTTCACGAAAGAACGAAACACGTTGAGTTAGACTGCCACTTTGTGCGACAACAGTTCATCGCTGGTCTGATTACGCTTTCTTTCGTTCCATCGAAGCATCAGTTGGCTGATTTGTTCACCAAACCGTTGTCTGGGGTTCCCCATCGCCATTTGTTGAACAAGTTGGGGGTCATTTCTTCACCCTCCAACTTGAGGGGGGATATTGGCGTAAAACCATCCACTTCCATGGCATCGATTCAATACAGCAATAAGCAGAAGAAGAAATTGGAAAGAAGAGATGTCAAGAAGAATAGCAAAGAGAAACAAGACTTCTCAGATATTTCGGAGATCCCTAAGAAGCTTTGATCTTTGTCTAGAGATGAGGTGGAACAATCTGGACTCTTCATCACAAATGAGAAGGATTGAATTTTGTCCATCTGATTTAGTAACACCTGTACATACTCATCCCATTCTAGAAAAACTTTGCTCACGTGATTAGCACGTTGAGGAATATAAGTTTGTTAGATTAGTTATAGAGTAGACAACTAAAGAAAGGACATGTGGATATTGAGTTTTCTTTTATCATTAGCTTTATTCTGTGTAATACTTGTATATATACAGGTTTGGAGATGAATGAAATTATCAGAAAATTTCCCAAAGTATTTTTCTTTTCATTCTTTCAACATTAATAACAAAATTGGTTATCTCAATTCTCGCTTTGGTGATTCACATATGTGCGCTACGAACACCACTTGGTTAGTTGGTTTAATCGTCGTAGAAATATTTTTCTTTTTGGGGTTTTAACTATAACTTCGAGAAGCATATTAAAGGAGCTTTAGCAGTTCCCATGGAGAAGACAGTGAAATTTCAAAACTTAGTGACCTGTTCTATTCTGTAAAGGTCTACCTGAAGGTAAATGTTTCTTACTTCTTAGTATTAAACTGAGTTGTATTTGTCGTTCTAGATCATTAGGCTTTCTGAACTTTCGTGTTACTATTGAGAAATGATATATTGTTTTATCAAGAATAGGTTGTTGTTGATTATTATATATATATAATCTTATGTAAAAATATACGGTAAAAGATGAAGAAAACGAAGAATAAAAAGTTCTAGGTGATGAGAAACATGTCATTAGAAGTAAAGTACAAGAAATTAAATGCACTATCTATATCTATCACATTGATCTAGAAGGACAAACAACATCTTCTGCCTATGATGAACTACTTTCTACATCTCAAAAGCATTCAATTATAATCTTCTTTGATTGTTTGTAGATACAAATGCAGATGACAATTCAACTAGCTTTTTATCAGTTTCACCACTTTCCTCTCTCCAATTTGGAAGATGGATAGTGTGAGATCTCAGCCATCTTGTAGCAGGTGAATCAAAGCCATTAATTAATATGCTTTGACATAGGTATTGCAGTGAATTGTTGTTATAATTAAATAACCCCCACAACAGTAGCCAATTATTTATGCCTCTTGCTCCCTGACCTGCTTAAGCTTTTTTTTCCTTTATGTCGTCTCATTTGCAGTACATGGACAACAAGAATTATTGGCAGGTTTTGAAATTTGCATTGATTACTTTGCATAATTTTTCAGCTCATTTCAATAACACCTAAACTCAGAATTAATTAATAACATGATTTTCTATATGTGCTTGAGCGAGTTTATAGAGAAAATGTAATTGTTGTGAATTAATTTTTTTCTGCTGAAAATTGTACTATCCACTTTTAGGGAATAATGATACCACCAGTTGACTTATATACGTGGCTAAATTATTTTTCTAGCTTTTCATCCATTTTGATAAAAGTTGTCATTTTTTTTATATGGTACTTGCAGAAATCGAGCCATTCAAATATGAGTTTTTGTGAATTGTTCTGTATGACCTAAACTTCAACATTTAAAATCTTAGCTTTTGGTTTGATGTGTAGGAGCTGGGGCCAAATTTTAAGGATTGTGGATACTTTTCTGAGGTAAACAATATTGAAATCTAACTTAAACTGACATGTACAAGTATAGCCTCTACAATCTACATATTATGTTCTCTTTTAGTTTCATGTTGTCTCGATTCTTTGTGGTTCATCCAAGATCATTATTTGCGTGCATAGTACTTGTACAGAAAATTGTAGTCAAATTTTTAAAGTTGTAATTTGTGTTCGTTCACTGGTTCACATGTGATGATGCTGATTTAATCCTTCTAATGATACAAACATATTTCATGAAATTTCACGTGGGGTCTGAAGAGTATGGTGTGTACTCCCTCACTTATGAAGGTATAGATGTTATACTTGACTCAGACAGAGGAGAGTGGAATTTCATGTGTAAGGGTGAAATCTGGAGATCTACGAAGGAACGCCAAAAGCGAAGGCAGCTCTCTCGTCCCTACCGACGCTGAGGTGCGAAAGCACGGGGAGCGAGCAGGGTTTGTAGTCCATGCCGTAAACGATGAGTGTTCTTATTACATTTTTACTATTGAGACATTATAAAATTCTTGAGTAATGCTACCTACGAGCTTACTTTTTCACAAAGGTTGCAGAATGACAAATATCACATTCGTTTGGGGGTCCAGTAACATCTAAATTGTGTGAGTCAAATTATTTGTGATGATTCTATATTGCAGATGTGTTCAACACCATTTGAATGTTATAAAGGGTCTGTAGGCTTTTAGAAGTCAGGAACAATGCTATCTCTAACCCTCTGACTAAGCAATATGCCTTAGTTCTAGTATAAAACTAGAAAAACTACCATCCTATCTCTCCCTTACCCAAGTCAAAAACTATCATCCTCTCAAAACTACAGTATTAGGAAAGAGGATTCTTAATAGTTTTACCAACACTATTTGCTACTTAGCTTGCTTATTTATTGGTGAGAAATACGGATCTTTCGGGGAAGAAAAGGTCGTGAAGATGTGAGTATGATAGTGAAATTTATGGTGGATCCAGCAGAAGAAAAAGTTCAGGCAGCATTTCTGTGAGCAACTCATCTTGAAGGTGTAGAAAAAGCACATACAACACTCGTAGATGAATGACCACATCATTATAACAATGGAAAGTGAGCCTATAATATACAGGAAGTTATACAGTAAAGTTCTGCACTGAAAGAGAATAAATAGTATTGAAAGTATAAACTACATACAAATGTAAAACAAATATACATAAATATTTGTGATTAACACTGTATTACTCCCTCCGTGTCATTTTATAAAATTTATGCATAAGTTATCATATTTTGCCTATTATATCCTTAATAGAATAGTTAATTAATCTTGTCATTTATTAATAGAGTTGACTTAAGAAAACATTAAATAAGGGTAGAAGGGTAAGGTTACATCATTTCTTAATGCAAGCAAAAATGGTGAACATATAAAATGAGACGGAGGGAGTAATAATCTTACATACAAATAACATAAAAAACTTAATTTTTACAAAAAGAAAAAAAAACAAAAAGAATGATAATTACACAGGTTGAACTATCTTACATATTATTTATTAAAAAAAGGGAAATTTCACAAATATCCATTATAATAAACTTAATTATGCTTCATAATTATAGTTTGCATATTTACCGACGGTAGCTATAGTTTAAGTTGTTTGTATAATTTGCGGGTACGTTTGTAATAATTGAGTTATTTTTGTATAAACTTGAAATAATGAATATGTACAAATATGAACATCTACTTTAAACACTTATACAAATTATATTATACAAAATTACACCATACAAATATTGATAGATATTATATTATACAAATTCTAAATTATATAACAATATGGGCATACAAACTTGAAATCCCAACCCACGTAATTATCATTAAATGTTGATCGTGAGTGATAATAACTAATATTATAATAATGATGACTAACTAACTAGTATACGTATACTTAATTACAGAATTTTCCCAATTAAAAATAAGACTATGACTAACCGTAACATCTTAATCGATAAGTGGGTCTTGGATTTTAAAATAATAAAACCTTCAAAGAACCACTAAAGCCTAAAGGACAAACATATATCTTTTACCTGCACTTTTGTCGATTAATCAATGTTAATTATACACATATTTGATTAGTAATACTTGTTAAATTATTAAAGATAAGAGTTTGCACTTATTAATCATAGAAAAATTAAAACGACCTCGGTCACTATAGGTGAGTACACAATATAATAGATGCACTAACATGAAATTAACTATATTTGCTCAGATCATATATACGTTAAACAAAATATTGTATATTTATAAGTAGATATATTCAAGATTTTGGTCAAAATTTAAATTAAAACACAAATCAAATCAAGCTGACTAAAAAAAATAACAATAGATTTCGTTTGGTTTTGAATTTTTACAACGAAAAACATTTGGCTTGATTTTCGGTTTTACTGTTAAATTTTTTTGATAAAATAACCAAATCAAACCAACAAATTATATACATAAGTTTTTATAATTATAAACATATGATATTAGCTTTTCATAAATAACTGTAATATTTTATATCTTTTTAATTATTAATTTACCTATAATTTACATAAATCTCACAATATTAATAGCTAATTATATCATTTTTCTAATATTTTTCAAATTACAAGAATCTCTTAAAATTTATGGATTCCGAATGCATCATTGGACTTGTAGATACATCACTAGACTTCTCGATACATCAACAAACATCCTAATACATAGCGGAGGGATGTATCCGAGAGGGGATAAGATATTTGGATACTGGATATATAGGCGGGATGTATCAGAGAGAGTAAGGATATATCCGAGAGGGAGATGTATCAGAGAGGGGAGAGATCGATGTATGCGAGGGAGATAGAGATGTATCAGCGAGAGGGGATCAAAGTGATATATCCGAGAGGGAGATAGGGATGTATCAACAAGATGAGAGTGATGTATCCGAGAGGGAATTTTTAATTTTTTTTCTAAATAATAGAGAATTTTAGAAATTAAAATAAAATAAGATGTGTATTTAAGTAATTTTTCCATAATTTAATTTGAGTCTACTTGTTCCACATGCACTACAACATTTTTATTTCTATTTCTGGAAGGATGCTCAATCTCAACACTCTACTTTTCCTGTTTGGTCTAGAGGTGGTGTGGCATATTGTCGGTTTTTTTTTTTTAAGAGTTTAGGTAATCATTTTATTTAAAGTTAGGATATAATTATTTTGTATATTATCTGTATAGCTATGCAATATAAACATGCTAAAAACTTGAAATAATGTTGAAAAATGATAAAAGATTGAGACACATCCATCTTGCAATAGTAAAGAGAAATTTGTCGATTCGTAATGTTCATTTGAAATAGTTACAGCTCTCATATTTAAGTTATTTTAATATTGTCAATTTATCATTAGCTAGTTATAAAAGGAAAAAACTAAATCAAAGCAATAATTTTTATTTGATTTGTTTTAGAAATTTTAAAACCGACTAAATTAATCCCTTAATTTAATTTTGATTTTAAATAAAGAATCCATCCAAATCAAATCATGAATATCCTATTTATAATAAATTGCTCGTAAACAAAATTATATGAATTTTAGAAACTCAAAATTCTGAATTTATCTTCATTAAATTATCAAATTAAAATGGAGTAAATAACAAATAAATTTAATGTGATTTCAGCTCGTGGACTCTCAATATGTTGCCAAAGACACGTTACTCCATTTGTTAGCTGCTAATAAAGGACCCACAAAAGGGTCATACAGAAATTGTGTAGCCATGAAAGTGGAATATGCTTGGAACAAAATTAGGCCAATTCTTGAATTATTAGCCATTTGAACAATTAAAGTTAAGAGACATTGCAAGAGAGTACTGAAGAAAAAAAATATAATTAGCAATTGATTGTTGTGTGTAAAAAATTACCCCTCCCCTCCGTGCCCCCACCCATACACCCCTTCCACCAACCTATTCCTAATTATTTTTTTCCAAAAAAAAAATAAAAATTTACCACCCCCGGGCGACCTCCCCCACCTTCCACCAACCTACTCCTAATTTTTTTTTGTTTTCCAAAAACCAAAAAAAAATCTGTTTTTCAAAAAAAAGAAAAAAAAAGTTTACCCCCTCCCCCGGGCACCCCCAACACCTTCCACCAATCGACCCCTAAATTTTTTGTTTTCCAAAAATTAAAAAAAATCTATTTCATTTCACTTATATGGGCTGGATATGGATTCTCATGTTAACTCATTTTATCCATATTTGTATGAGCTTAAATAGATGGAAGACCATATCAACCCATTTAAGAAAAAAAAAAATAAGTGATCCATTTAATTTAGGACAAATTACTTAACTACACTCCTTTACTTACCTTAATATCCATTTATCCCTACTAATTTCAAAATTTTCGAAAATCCCTTATTTACCTATGTATCCCGCATGTATCCCATGCACAACGTTATGTATCCCGTGCACAACGCTATGTATCCCGCATGTATACCGTGCACAACGCTATGTATCCCGCATGTATACCGTGCACAACGCTATGTATCCCGCATGTATACCGTGCACAACGCTATGTATCCCGCATGTATACCGTGCACAACGCTATGTATCCCGCATGTATACCGTGCACAACGCTATGTATCCCGCATGTATACCGTGCACAACGCTATGTATCCCGCATGTATACCGTGCACAACGCTATGTATCCCGCATGTATACCGTGCACAACGCTATGTATCCCGCATGTATACCGTGCACAACGCTATGTATCCCGCATGTATACCGTGCACAACGCTATGTATCCCGCATGTATACCGTGCACAACGCTATGTATCCCGCATGTATACCGTGCACAACGCTATGTATCCCGCATGTATACCGTGCACAACGCTATGTATCCCGCATGTATACCGTGCACAACGCTATGTATCCCGCATGTATACCGTGCACAACGCTATGTATCCCGCATGTATACCGTGCACAACGCTATGTATCCCGCATGTATACCGTGCACAACGCTATGTATCCCGCATGTATACCGTGCACAACGCTATGTATCCCGCATGTATACCGTGCACAACGCTATGTATCCCGCAAACATCATTTTTAAGGGATTTTTGGTAAATAAAAAACTAGAAGGGATAAGATGTTATTTAGTACTTATAATATGTGGTTATACTTTAATTTAATATGAGCAAAAAGTGATTTCATTTCACTTATATGAACTAAATTGACACCCCTAACCACAATAAAGTTTCACTTGGAGAGAGTAGAAAACAGAGGAAATACACAAGCGGGAAAACACGATTTGTAGTTTATCAGAAAAGAAAACATATTTATTTATATATAAGATAATAAAAAAAAGTGGTACAACAATATTGTCACAGGCATGAACATATATACCTGCAACTTAATATTAATACATACAATAAGTTAAATCTCGAAAAATAATGATAGGTACTTAATAAGTAAAACACACGCATACATAAAAATCAAAATTAAACAGGAAGACGAAACCTCTGTTCAAAACCCATATTCATATTCATCCTCCTCCTTAGATAGTTCCAAACAGTAATTTCACTCTGAAAATACTCTTCTTCTTCGAATTGTTGCATAATTTTCTTGAAAACCCAAAGTAACATTTCACCTGCGGAAAGCAGAAAACAGAGGGAAAACACAACATGGGAAGCAGGGTAGGTGAAC